TGCTGATGCTTTTTGAGCAGGTCGGAATTTACTTGCCTTGCTATGACATTTTTCGCAACAAGTTAGAGGAGTTCACAGCTCAACATGCCCCAAGCTTGACACCATATGCCCCTTTATTAGCTGGTTCTCTGGCACGGTCTTTAGCTTGCACAAGTTGCTATCCTATTGAACTTGCCAGAACACGAATGCAGGTATCTCACAACTCCTATTGTCAAGGTTTATTCTATCCACCATATTTATTGGAGAGAAAAGGGTCTGGATGGTATATAAATAATTTATTTTGCATATTTTGTTATGTATGTGTCATTCAAGGCGTTCCTGTTGCTCTTTACTTGCTACAAACAAGGGTGATCCACTCCTTCAATTGTTCTGATTATCTCTTTCACTGAGTTGCTTCTGTTTACAGGCATTTAAGGATATGAACAAGAAGCCTGCTGGAGTCTGGAAGACTTTGTTTGAGGTTATTGCCAATGTCAGGAGCACAACTAGTACCAATTTTGGCTGTAAGTCAATTTTTTCCCTGGTCCTGCTTTCTAGCTATAGGAAAGAGTTTATAGATACTGTTTGTTAGTGAAAATGAGTAGCTGCAGATTCCATAGTAGTGTTAAAGGTTTTATTACATACCGAAAAAATAAATAAACCCTTCGGGGTGGTCCAGTGGTTTGAGCTTGAGACTTCCATGTTGGAGGTCTCAAATTCAAAACTCCTTGCCAGCGAATGCAAGGGGTTTGCTTTTTGGGTCGAGCTCGTCGAACCAGGCTTGCCTAGTGCGGGCTACCTCTCCAATGTGGTTTGCGAGCTATTGCATAAGAGCAGGGGTTTACCCTGTGCGCACCCAAAGGGTAACGGCTGCGGGTTTCCCATGTCATAAAAAGAAAACTAAAGGTGCCATCGGAATATATTCCTAAAATTCTGTGTCCCAACTTTAAGCTCAACAGTTGTGATCTTTAAATTCTCGTCTCTGTGCCAGTTCATTTGCTCGTCTTCTAATAGCACTATTACAACATGTGTAAGTGAATCCAAGCTTCGCAATGGAGATGCTGTGAGTGATGTCCTAAATTGTGTAAGAGAGGAGAATATTTTCCAAAGCATGGTCCCTCAGAAAGTTGAATCTTCACATAGCTTATATAGTTCTTAAAAGTCCATTACTTCTCATTCTAGCTCCTTGTTTCTCTACTTAAAATCTGTGTCTCACTTTCACTCTTTATATATGAATGCTCTCGCAATCTCTTTGAAGTGGACGTATTATTTTCTGCTGCAGTACAAAGTTATCGTGTACTTTGGTCTGGACTTGGGGCACAGCTTGCTCGCGACGTTCCTTTTTCTGCAATTTGTTGGTCAACTCTTGAACCAGTATGATTCAATTCTATTTTTGTTAGATTCTAATCCGTTCATGAATTTCATTTGATTCAAGCATTATTCTCACACATATTTGCAGGTAAGAAGGCGGCTCCTTTGTCCGCTGGGAGATGAAGCTAATGCCGTAGGTGTCCTAGGTGCAAACTTTTCTGCTGGTTTTGTTGCAGGAAGCATTGCTGCTGCTGCAACATGTCCCCTTGATGTTGCTAAGACTAGAAGACAGATTGAGGTGTTTATTTTTCATCCAAATCCTCATATATGGAATACTGATATTTAGATTTGTCCACTTGGCTCAAGCATCATTCAATCAATTAAAATCAACATTGTTCTTGTCTGTTATATAAATTAGGAAGTGATCCAGGAATCAATAGTCATAGACCCCACAGTTTGAATGTCTTCCTAGTTATATCAATCACTTTGGCTCCCTTAGCCTAGTGCTGTGTTCATTATGAGCCTTAAACCCCACAGTTTGAATGTCTTCTTAGTTATATCAATCACTTCGGCTCCCTTAGCCTAGTTCTGTGTTCATTATAAGCCTTAAAACAAGGAAGTGAGTGGATGGTAGGATGTACACCGGGTTCGCGTTTGGGATGAAAGTCTCATAATTGACGTCTTGAACTTCTTGTGAACCGTCGTTGTAGTTGTCATTTATCTCTTCTTTTTTATCTTTCTTCTTTGATCCAGGAATGAATAGTCATAGACATCACAGTTTGAATGTCTGTTTAGTTATATCTATCACTTTTGGCACCCTTAGCCTAGTGCTGTGTTCATTATGGACCTCAAATCTAGGAAGTGAGTGGATGGTAGGATGCAATACCAGGTTCGCATTTGGGATGAAAGTCTCATAATTGACGTCTTGAACTTCTGGTGAACTGTCGTTGTAGTCATTTATCTCTTTTTTTTTAACCTTTCTTCTGTTACACTAGAGTATAACCGATATAATTCTTTTTACAACCATGCACACTATTTTGCCCTCGGGTGATTGCAATTTGTCTTTAAAATTAAAGGGATTAGTATCTGAAATAAGCTTACATTTGAGAGTGCTGTTTTTGTTTTGCACCAAGGATCCATAACGATAATTGACTTGTTTCTCCACATCTATTCGATTGTTTGCTTATCTACCTCTTTTTCTTTATTACAGATGGACCCTGCCAGGGCGTTGACAATGACGACAAGGCAAACTCTACTTGAGATTTGGAGGTACAGCTTTGAGAATATGCCCACTGAATTGTTCCTGTGCAAAATAACATATAAGCTGCATATATTAAATCCATGATGATATTGCCGAACATGCTATTGGAAAAGCTATTATGGCAGCAGATCGTTTGTTGTGCAGAGGGGTTGTTTGGATTGGCTTCTTTTAAGTGACTTAATAAGTTAAAAGTCATAAGTCGGGTTTTTGGCTTTTTTGGGTACTTTTTCAGTTCCAAAAAAATGCTTAAAAGCACCAAAAAAATTAGCCTAGAAGCCTAAAGTCGCTAAAAATAAAAAACTCCCACTGAATGCTCCAAGTCAGAAAGCATTTTGTTTATGCTTTTAGTTTTTCTTTTCACTGCAAAAAAAGCTGAACCTGATTAATCCATGCACCCCACCAGTTGGACTTAGTACTTCTCCAGAGATCCACATTCGGTTGTGATGAGTCTTGTGAGTTCATAGGGTTGGACAATTTTCCTTAAACAGAGTGGCATGTGCGTGTTTTTGTTCACTATTTTTCTGGCCATTAAGTAGATTCTGAATGAAATCATGCTCTGACTATTACAGGGATGGAGGGCTCAAGGGACTGTTTACTGGAGTAGGTCCTCGTGTTGGTCGTGCTGGCCCTTCAGTTGGAATTGTGGTTTCGTTCTATGAAGTTGTCAAATATATGTTACACCAACAATATGCTTCTTCATAGGGAGCATAGTCAGGTTAATTAGGTATCTTCTTTCCAACATCTTGGATCGGGCACTGGTTGCTGAAATAGCGCCATGATTCTGACGCTCAGCTCTAATGTGGATATGGTAGCACACTAAGGAGCAGTTTTGACCATGGTAGATTTACCTACACAGATTAGCTTGTAGAAAATAATCCCTCTCTTCTTTGCTTTCCAGCCAATATTGGTTGTTTTTTCGGCATAATTGTCTTTGGACTAAGAAGAGATTTTGATATACTTTGGTTGCATCAAATAGCAGTTTTTCCTGAGATGTTCCTCACTTCTCATAAAAATGTTCAAGTTCTTCATGTCTTTTATTATTTGTCTGGTGATATCAAAGCTAAAAATATTGATGCGGAGGGATTTTTATCGATTTTATTTTTCATTACCATAAAATACTGTCTTAATCTTCTTTATGTTACATTTGGTACATTGCTTTAGATGGAATGATTAGTTTGTTCTAGTATTTATTCCCAATAAATTGAATTGTCGATATATACAATAAAACGAATGTTCCCGAAGTTAATTTTTTATCTCGCTGTATATGGCATTATCAGTCTTAAGTTCGGCTCTTGGAATGTTGGAACAACATGTAAAACTTAAACCACTTTGACCCAACTATTGAAAAAGGGGGGGTGCATGGTGGATGATTTTAGAAGTGGACTTTCTATTTGTTAGGTAAAAAAAATGAGTTTTTGGTTAAAATCGTCTTTCAAGTATGATCTAAACCTAAAGTACATCTTTGTGTTATATAAGTGAACGAATAACATCTTTGAACTATCCAAAGAGTTGCAAGATTCATCCTTTTATCTATTTTTTTTAAGAAATTCATGCGACCAATAAAAAAAGATCTAAACCATCGGTGATTAAAATCATATTCAGACAAAATATATTCAAATTCTAAATATTTCTTTGTAAAATATGGCCAAATACTATTCTAACTTCAAAATTTTTAGATAAAGTAATTTTATTTTATTTTCATAACTAAATGTCTACGTAATTTCACTAAATTTTCAGTATTTTTGCACGTTGTTTAAAATGTAAACTGCATTGTATATATATTAGATACGCCCTAAATATTGTATTAAAGAAAATCTCTAAAAAGTTGAACGTAATATTTTTGAAATGATCTTTTTAACATAATCTTTCTAACCATCGAAACCTGCTGTATAAATATTTCAAAACTTATTATTGGTGCAAGTCAATTGACTTGATGATACATATAAACTAACAACACTCAAATTTAGATCCTGAGAATTGAAGATTTATTTTCTATCTATATCCTTATTCTTTTTAGCTAACTTTGATCTTCTCGTTATGGCCAAGACATGATCAAATTATTTTTTTTACTGGTTCTATCGGTTTCTTAACTAAAATATATTGAGGGATGATTCATGTTATTGTTTGAATAGTATAAAGATGCTTTTTTTTTCAAATAGATAATATAAAAATGTTCATTAAATTTGAGTCATAGTTAAGAAATAATTATAGCAAAAAAAGATCACGAAATTTTTTACATTTAGGCGAATTTATTTCAATTCCAAAAGGTTGTTAGTAGACATACTATTTGTCCCTATCCTACATGTTTTTATACCTACTAAGTTGAGGTCCCTGCCAGACTTCTCACCATACTGGTGACATAATTAATTCTTTTAAAATATAATAATAAATGCATAAATAGATATACTCTAGGGAAAAAAGGCATTAAAAGTAGGAAGAATGCAAAAAATAAAACAAACATGTACGTACATCTCTATACCAATTTCTTTTCTTTATATACAAGGGAGGGAGGGCTCGACGAATTTATCTGAATCCTCTTCGATAAAAAATTACATTATTTATACATAATTAATATTATTAATTTTGTATATACAACACACATTGAATTCTCTTTGATTTCTTCTTAAACTTAATATAAATCTTAGCTCCGTTACCCGAATCAGCGAATGAAGTATGTTAGCACCAATGCCACCAGCATTAGGCCGTATGCAATACCTTGGTCTATTTTTGTCCCTGCAACCATAAATGAAACCCAAAGTATTATATGAGATAAATACATTATGTATTTGGGTAGTCTCTTTTTAGTTGCGTATTTTATTATGAATCTCGAATCATCAAGACTCAAAGTCTTTCTGAGGCTTTAAAAATCTTTTTCCCCTATATTTGATTTCTTTGGTTAAAAACGATTCTTATGAAAAAAGCTTCATTTTTTTTTCTCGAAAAACTATTTATCCAAAATTTGAAGCAATAATCGAAAGAAAATTAAATAAAAAGTGTACCGTCACTTGTGGGAACAATATTATCACAGGCTATTGTAGAAGGGGAAGTTGTTGCCTTTTTGACCTCCATTTTTTTTATTCCTTGATTCTGCTCTCCGCTTTATGAAAAAATTCAGCACATCTTTCGCTGATCTGAGGCAAACTTAGACCGTTGACATGGTCAGTGAGGATCCAAGTAAACGAACCAACGCTCAAAAGTCTGTAATAGTTAATTCTTGATAGCAAAAGCACCTACGATATAGGTTGTATATACAGAGGGAACGACTATACATGCTAAGATGTAAGCTATATCAAGGTTAGGAGGAGTGATTTTGGACCATCATTTCGGGCAAAAGGGAACAAACCGTGCATACACTATGTCAAGGAGCTGAGAAAAAGGGATCCTCTTCGTTTTTGTAAATAGAAAACAGCTGCTTAGAGTATCTTGTAGCCAAAGTTCTGCACAGTTCAATACCCTTGGGATCATAAGCTTGCAGTTCCTTCACGGACTTGGTCATATCACCTTTCGGATCTCCATCAGTAAGAAATTCAGCCAAGGTACTTCCCCTGTAATGTGAAATCAGAGTAACCTCACACATACAAATCAAATTTCCGATTCAACATTGTTTCAATGCAAGTTAAAGAAGCATAAAATAGGATCAATGCCCAAATGCCTTTCTGGTTAAAAGAATAAATTTTAGATGTTTCAAACGAATGCTTAGCATTAAATACTTTCATATTTTACAGATTTGCTGCCTTTGCAGTCATCCTTTTTGCAGAGAAAATATCAATCCCAAGTTTCCCTGGCCTACCGTAATATGTCCCAGCAATAGTTTCCTTCTCTTACACACTATGAACTCTTTCGAGAGAAGCAGAGCAAACCCTCTGAATTTAATGGTTGACGTTTCATTATGTAATTAGACAAGCCTGTATCAGTATAATTCCACAAGCGGGGGTAAACTTAATAATGATAATAATGGAAGTCCTCTAACAAGACTAAAACCTAATCCCAACTAGTAGATCACATTAATCTGGATCTCCTTTGTCCCATATGTCTTTAGCTAAGTTGGCATTGATTGCTAGAAATTGTAGGTCTTTCGAGACAACTGCTTACATCGTAAGTTCACGCTCTATCACTCTTTCCCCGAATTTCAAATCGAATAAAAATGGGAGTTCGACAGACGATGCCTTCTGTCATACAGTCATACGGTGAAATATGTCCATATCACAGATTCACTGATCACCCAAAATGCAGTGCAGCACCAAAGGAATCAAGGAATACGACCAAAGTGTATCATGCTTAACAACTCAATGTACGAGAGGAGGAGATTGTTAATCCTTAAATTCAATAATAAGTCAATATCCCAGATATATAAGACATCCAAATTGTACCCGACTACAAGGTACCTGTAATGGTAGATGGTAGGAGGTAATATATACATTGTGGAATTAGTCGAGGCACACAAGCTGGCCCAAACATCATTGTTTTCAAAAAAATTGTAAGAGATGGAAAATTACTGACATTGACAAAAAAGTTTATGCAGACACATTTTTAATCATGTGTTTTTATCTTATCTAGGCTATGAGCTTGGAGAAGTTGCAACAAACAAATAGTTAACGCCATAGTGGAGATACTTCATACAAGAACTAGCCATGTAGAGCTAAATTAAGTTTCCGTTCATCCAGACCAACACCACTTAAAGACTGTAATGTGCATGTTGTCGGAATATATAGATTATGTAGTATTCACATCTCATTCAAGCACATACCTGAAGGCATCACAGTGGCTAAAACCTCTTTGATTGTGATCTATTGTTCCTTTACAACATTGCTCCTCAGATGTTTGCTGCCTATACAAAACACAAACCGCCTTCATACATAATTCAGGATCCTTACCAAAGGCAGCAAGCATGTCCCCCTCAAACTCCCACTCTAACTTATCACCTTTGTTCCTTCGAATTCTCGATATTATCTCACCATAATCTGAATCACTCTCTGATACATACTCTGAATCAGTTATCGAATCTTCAGCTACAGCAGAATTACTTTGCAATGCACCAACAGAATTAGAGGTGTCATCATCATCTGAGATGTCAGAGCTGCTAACTATAAATCCACCTAAGCTTTCTCCTTCACTGTTGGACACTTCTTCTTCAATATCATTGCCACCGCCACCTTTCCCTTCGCATTGACTTAGCTTCACTAGGCGCCGTTTACTAGACAAATTCCTGACTTCATCATCGGAATCACCGGTTTGAGTTGAGTGGCCTCTGGGATGATCATTGGAGCTCTTTTCACAAAAATGCCTAGTTTTGAGCATGCAGATTGGAACTTTATCATCATCATCATCGGTGTCACTGTCACTAGCAATTATGTTTGAAGCTCTTCTTCTTTTTGGAGTTGGAACATATAAAGGCTCCTCATCATGGCAAACCATGTCACTGTCTTCAACTTGCTCAATGACAGTCATCTTTGAATCATTCTTTGAAGGCAATTCAGAATTGGACAAGTTGCTCCCTGATCCACAGAAAGGTACAGTACAAACATTACCTGGAACGGGAGGTGTACCGAGGGGCACAGAAAATTCAAAGTCATTTCCCATTATTGATGTATAAGGTGGACCAGTAGTTCTTTCATCATCGCTTTCAGTTATGTCAATAACAACAACTTTTGCACGACTTTCACTAGCTGGTGTAGAAGGAGCCATCCTCTTGTTAGACCCCCTTTCTTCTTCAAATTTCAATCGCTTCCTCACTTTGTTAACACAGTTATTGCCACTTTCAGATAGTAAAGCTTTGTTTTCTCTCACAAACTTGGCTTGCAAGATTGGAGTTTTTGCTAAAGATTTTCCTGTCCATCAAAATCAATAAGCAATGGAATAAGTTAAAGAATTCTTTCTAAAGCAAAATATCCATATTACTTTAAAACCATGAAGGTCCTTGAGATCCATAGAAATGTTAGATTGGTAATTTTGCTTATGCAGTGTTGTGAATGGCGAGTGCCTCATCGCCAAAGGCGAGAGGGGAGGCGAGGCGACATACAAAAGACGACCCATGGCAAGCTAATGGCGACAAATGGCGGCGCCTTTTTGATTTAATTTTTTAAAAAAGATTTGACTTAACAATATTAGGCCTTTATTTTCTATTTTCAAAATTTGCTGCTGCGCGACTCTTCTTCCCCTCACCGGTCGCGTCTCTTCGAGACTTCGAGTTGCTGCTGCACTGAGGACATGAGGTATACCTCTTTTTTGCTGCTCCTCGACTCCTCTTCCTCGTGCAATCTTTACTGTTCTTCTTCTTCAGTTCTTCTTGGGTTTTCTTCTTCTTCAGTTGCTCTGTTCTTTTTTTCCTTTTGCTAATATATGTTATTGCTATTGAAATTTTGAATATTTATATGTGCAATTAAATATATTTAATTTTGGTATTAACTGGCGGCAGGGCAGGCCCTTGTTGCCTTTTGTCGTCTCTCGCCGTTCAAAACACTGTGCTAAAGACAGTCTTCCAGAGACAAAATCATCTTTTTTCTACTTTTCTCAAATTATTATTCCATCATCTTTATTATATTGAATATTTGACTATATAATTACTCTCTCCGTCCATTTTTAATTGTCATGCTTTTCATTCTTAGAGTCAAACAATAATAACTATGAGTAACATTTTACTATGTATTTTTTCGACATATTAATATGCAAAAAATTGTAATTCATAGTAATTTCTCGCACTAGTTTTTGAATAATTAAATCCAAAACTTCAAACTACTAACATGATTTCTACTACTTGTCAACAATAATTGGTTAGACAAAATGATAATACCTGAATCTTGAGATAGTAGAGATCCAAGTTCTCCATCCTTGTTTTGCATTTCATCAACTACTTGCAGATGGATTTTCTGCGTTAAATCATCACATTCATCTTGCAATCCATGTACTCTAGTTGAAACTGTATCTCCTGCATTTGCATCCAACTTTTTTCCCAATTCCGCCACTGTTAACTGTAGCTCGTTACAGTTGGATTTCCAGTACTCAACATCACTTTCAGCCTTCTTTTTCTCGCATTCGAGTACACTGTTCTCGATCATCCATTGCAAAACCCTCTCTTCCTCCTCATTACTGCCGTTACTCTCTATTCGACGAATCTGCTCTTCCAACTCTTGATTCCTTCTCTTCAACACCTCAAACTTACCTTCAAGCTCATTTCTCTCCTGTTCAATCCCCTGCCGCAAATCGGAACAATTACATTCGATTGCCTTGATCTTTTCCACCAGATTTACACAATTATCGCAATTTTTAGTATTTCCACTTACTCCTACTATCACCCCCATATCAACCCTCAAAGATTCATTACTACTGTCCATGTTTCATCTCCCCAACTATTTCAATATAACCATTGTTTCAAAGAGAAACTGAAAACTCCAAAGTTAGCTTAAACCCTAGTATTAAAGAAAGCGAAATCTATCGATTCTTCTGGACAACCTTCAATGGCGTTTTTTGAAAAGAAAAAGAAAAAAACTTACGAAATCTGAAGCATTTTCGAGCAACTCCCAAAGGGTCGCCGGAACAAATTTTCACCCTTTGGCATCCGTTACCATCAGACGTTACGGGTTCATTCATTGTCTGTTCAATTTTTTTTGAAAAAATTACATAAATTAATATATTTTTTTAAAAAAATTACTGATTTTAGCGATATTTTTTTGTTTATTATCCTTTATAGTAATGCTTTTGCTAAATCTGTAATGTATATTAAAAGTGAATTATGTATGCAATATATATAAATTATAATTATTTTTTGAAATATATCATGTTTATTAGGTGAAAAATTGTCGTATTATAAATATATTAAAATATGAAATAAATGTATTATTCATTATTAAAATTTATATTATATGTGAATAATATTTGTAATATGTATTAAATTTATCTTATAAATGAATTTAAAGTGAAAAGGTGAAAAAAATTATTTTTTATTATAATATATTTACGTAAGTTTTAGAAAAAACGAAAAACGGTTCCAATTTATACGGGCCCATATTGATTTCTGCTCGTATACTATTAGCCCAAGTAGATCCAGATAACAGGCCCAATTATATATGTTCCTCTTAGGACTCGGCCTGTTTGGCACTTGTGCTGGATTTCATTGGATACAACCAATTCCCAAAATAAAGAAATTTCATAAGTTTATTTTAGGAGAGAATTACTTAAAAGTATACTTTAGTTTACAATATTACGAATCTTTTATATATGTCTAGATACATGTATTTCAGGATATATATGTCCAGAATTAGTTGTGATTTATCCTTAATACATCGTATCAAAGTGGGTTTGCATGTAACTAGGATACATAGACGAATCTTCCTCGCCTCTCTCCCATTTTGCTCACAACTATCCTATGTACATGATATCCTAAATACACGTGAATTATATCAGATACATGTATCTAGTGTGAATCACATGTATATGGGATACATGACTATCTCCCTCCCATAACGCTTGCATCTCTCCCTATTTTAGTTTATCTGGTAGGAAAATATCTAGATGTATTTTCCTTAATATATAATAGGAAACTCTTAATTAATGGTAAGGTATGTAATTATTTGGAAGTATGGATAGAATTAATATATATGGTATGAATGTATGTTTAAGAAGATAGTTATACCTTTTTTTTTAAACTACGTAATCAAACAAACATCTTCATCCTATCTATTAAATATCAAATTCGATTTATTTTGATTAAAAAAAAGAATCAGAATTGATTTTGAGTTAAATCATTTTTGAACTGTGTGTGCGTATAAATCGGGTCTAGCACTACTACGTCTTCATCGTGCAATACTATTAAAGTAAAAAAAGAATTCTACCTCGCTAGTCTTGTCAATTTCACATCTCCTCTTTCATTGATCTTATACTGAGCTATTAGACTAGAAATAATGCCAAGAAAAATAATTTAATCTATATCCGTAGAACGAATAAAATAAATTCTAAATATTCGTTTTGTTGCAATTTCCACTTGGTATTTAATTTAATTTGAGCCATTCGGTATTGAATATTGTTTTATTTATTTTTTTATCAAATAAAAAGGACACCAGCTGCTTTCGTTTTTGTTTTTTTCCAATCAAATCCATAACTTTTAAATATTGTGATAGGAGTATTGTAAATGGAAAAAATTATTGTTTTTTCCATTAGAATTATTTGTTTATTATTATATAATAATATACGCGATCACATCGAATCAATTATTTTTAAATGCCTCTGGGATATATTTTTCGAACAGAGAAATTAAATGAATATATAACTGTATTATTGTTTCATGCATAGTGTAAGTTTGGCTTATCCAGCCACCAGACATACAATTGAGTAGTATATATCTGTCATAAAAAAAATTAAATTCATGCAAAATAATAAACGTCTACTCACGTCACGTAACACTCAATTTCCTACTCGTTATTTTTATTTTCTATTTATAATATAATAAAGGTCAAATACATAAATGGATCTCTAAATTTATTGATTTTTTTCCTCGGGTATCTCAACTATGCTATTTTTCTATTGAATCATTGAACCACCCATAATTTGTTCCTATTAAACAAACATCGTTGGCTGATGTTGAATCAGATTTTGTGAGGGGTATTGGTAGAGACACATATTTTGTTCCAAAACTCATCAGTCCAATTGATAATGAAAATGTTTGAAAATAATTGTGTTTTACTTAAAGTCATTTGAACACATTAAAAGCAAATGAGATCTGTAGAGTTTTTCTTAATTCTTCAATCAAAATCATTACAATACGAACACAATTGAAGACATTTGCAATAGAAAAACTGATCAAAATCAATCAACAGTATTTAAAAGGAATAAATTATGGATGGTTCAATGATTTAATAGAAAAATAGCGTACTTGAGATACCTGAAGGAAAAAATCAAATGAATTTAGGAATCTATTTATAAGTTCAGCCTACAATAAAATAAATATAATATTGAATAAAAGTAAGAATCTGAGAGAAATAAAATCATTAATTTGCTAATATTAGTAGCAGAGAGAAGTCACAATCAAATGTGGTCCGTCGCAGCCTACTTTGATGACATTAGAGAATTCTCTTGCATTTTTTTTTGGGACCATATAATATAAATATTTGAAACACGCTTAAATAACAGAACACACAAATTTCTAATTTAATTTATTCAAATTTGGAAAAAGAAAAAGTGTAAAGTTGTTATATAAATATATTGGACCACATACATTGCTTTATATGGATGTAAGGAATTAGATTGTTATACAATTATAAATAAGTTTTACATTAATCATTTTTAATGGGATAAATTATATAAATATGTTAAATTAAAAAAATATTTATCATTTATGACAATAAATTTTTTCTAACTAAATATAACATTTTTTTGGATTGAATAGTTGTACCGCTTCGCTTCTTTTGACCTTTTCTCTTCCTCGTCGTCTTCTTTTTATTTTCTTCTTCGTCTCTTTCTGTTATTCTTTCTCTTCCCCCCTCTTCTTTTTCTTCTTCTTCTTCTTCTTCTTCTTTTAAAATTTTCATTTAAATAATTACTCTCAAATAATTTTTTGTTCCTATTTCACTATTTTTATCCAAAAATATAACGAGAAGAGAAATAAAAAAATAAAAAATTTGTACAATATTGTGTTCTCAAACAAAATTTTCAAATCTCTAATATTACAACAACAAGAATTCACCATTGATGGTCATCATAAAGTTTTAAATTTTGATTTCATTTTATGAATCATACGAACTCATGATTAGTTTAGATAGATTGATCCTGCAAATAATTGAAAATGCAGTTTGAAGTTTATATCTCAATTTTAAGAAGGTTTGGTTAAGTTTATAATTGATTATAGGAGAAATATAAGATTGAACCTCGAAAATGGTAAAGTTTATGGAACTGTATTGCAATTGTATTAAAGTTGAATTAGATATATTTTATAATTGTATTAAAATTGTATAAAAATCATAACCAATACATTTACTCTCTTCTTAGTGATACCAGTCAAATGATTTAGGTAAACCACTTAATAATACATTTATAATACATGCACACTACATTTTTAATACATATGCAAACATCTTTCATGTTCTTAGTGATACAAATAAAAATTTATAAGACACATATAATACATGTTTTATTCATGAATAATACAAGCTTAATTCAGTACAGAGATTATTGTCTTGACTTTTGTTAGTTACATTTTTCATCTTTTTTAAATTTTCTCTTCTAATTCAACTTTAATATTGTGTATACTTTTTAATGCAAATTTAATTCATTTTGTAGTTTATTATTTGTTACTATTGAATAACTTGCTTAAGTCATTATTGATATAAGTTGAATTCACTATGTAGATCATTGGCTAGTCTTTCATTAGTTAAATTTTCTATTCATGTTTAATTATCTCTTCTAATTCATTTTTGATGTTTGTGTAATTCACTTTTTCATACAAGTTAATTCATTTTGGAGTTTATTGGTTGATTTGCTCCGCTTAAATTACTTGATTATTTCATTATTGATATAAGTTTTAGTTAGTTTACAAATCATATAATACTCTTTAGTTTGCTACATTTTGCATTCATGTTTAATTCGCTTCTTATTCAATTTTAATATGTGTGTATACATTTTTAATTCAAGTTTAATTCATTCAGCAGTTTATTATGTTTCTTCATTTGTTATGATTAGTTTACTTGTTTGCTATTTCGTTTGCGATTAGTTTGAACAGATTGTTCCTACAAATAATTGAAAGTATCTTTTGGAGTTTATATCTCAATTTTAAAAAGGTTTGGCTAAGTTAAGAATTGATTTTAGGAGAAATGCTACGTTGAAGCTCGAAAATGATGAAGTTTCTGGAACTATATCGGGTTTGTATTAAAGTCGTATTAGATATGTTTTATAATTATATTAAAATTGTATATTAAAATCATGACCAATACATCCTACATTTATAATACATATGGCAAATTTCACTACCCTTTTAATGTATCAACAAAAATAATTTAGGTAACACACTTATAATATATGCACAATACATTTTTAATACATATTACAAACATCACTTACGTTCTTAGTGATACAAACTCAAAATAGTTTATAAGATACATATAAGACATGATTATTCATGAATAATACAAATTTAATTTGGTTTATTAATTGATGTCTTTTTTTTGTTAGTTATGTTTTTCATTCATTCTTAATTTTCTCTTCTAATTCAACTTTAATATCGTGTAGTTCAATTTTAAAGCACATATAATTTGTTTACTTGTTTTATTATTTGTCTAATACAATTTTAATTTATTTTGCAACTTATTGAATTATTTGTGAAATTCATTGTTAATACAAATTCATTCAGTTTAGAGAACATAGAATGCTCTTTCGTTTGCTACATTTTGCATTCATATTTAGTTGTATTCTAATTCAATTTTAATATTTGTGGAATTCATTTTTAATGTAAGTTTAATTCATTTTGTAATTTATTAATTCTATTCATTCGTTACAATTATATTACTTGCCTAATTAATTAATTTTTATCTAATTTTTTTTAGTCTAAAAATCATTAACTACTGTATGAAAGAAAATAGAGAGAAAACGAAAAAAAGCAGAGAAAGAGACGAGAA